ATGCCCGGGTTGTGGGCACGATCTCTAATCATTAATGTTTCTATCTCTTTTTCCTCCCCCTTCCTCTCTGAAACCAATTACATATAATTTTAAAAAGTGCAAGTTTGAGTCTTGCACAGTCATTCATTAAAAAAATAAATAAATAATAATGCGGGAAAAATATCCTCAGGTGAGGATTTACAAAAACTAAAATAAAATAACAGAAACAGCTGGTAGATGGAAAATTGAATCCAGGGGCTACTCAGCTGGGTCTGAAGCATTTCTCCACCTTACTCTTACTGCTTCTGAAGGACCTCTGTGTGCATAACTCCTTGAGAAAAACTCAACTCTCCCATGAGGAGCTGTGGCTTTGAAGAGCTCTTCTATTAGTAGGGAGGCGCCTGGAGAGCCATTCACACTCCCTGTTCCCATCTCTCTGAGGGCTGTGGCACACCCACAGGAAATTACACACCAGGGACCTCTGTTCTGAGCTTCAGACGCAACTGCCCACTGAGCATCTCTTCTGGGATGTCTCTCGGGCATCTCACACCCACAGCATCCTAATCTCTCTGCCTGCTCTCTGTGTTTCAGTGAATGCCATTACTGCCCAAGCTCAAAACCTGGGAGTCCACTTTGACTCTCCAGCCCCTCCTCCCTCCCACATCTAGCCAGCACACCTTCCCATTCTAGCTCCTAAAATCTCAGACTTCTTAACTTCCTCATGTCCCCAGCACCTTGTCCAAGCCACCACCATCTTGCACCTAAATAATTCTAAGACCCTCTAACAGGTCTTTCTAAATCTATTCTTTTTTTCCTAGCCAATCTCCACCCTGAAGGACAGTGATCTTTTCAAAATACAAATTGGATTAGTTCTCTCCCTTGTTAACAACCTTTCAATACCGCCCACTGTTATCCCAATAAGCTCAGTCTCTACACCAAAGTCCCCACGACCCTGTGTGCTGGCTCCACTCACTCTCTCAGCTCCTCCCATCTGTGCCTCTCTGACACCCTGAGCAGCAGCTGCTCTCAAATCTCTGTAGTTCTATGAGTGCTACTTGTTATATCTTTGCGTGTTTGCTTGTGTTGTTCTGACTACATGGAACCCCCCCTTCTCTCCACCCTCATGCCTTCAGGATTTTTTTTGGTTAAGTGATATTGTTCGCACAGATACCCAGTGTCCACAAGACACCTTCTCTGCCCTCTGGTCTGGTTAATAAGGTACAAATTATATAGAACTAGGTGGAGAGGAAGAAGTAGGAGGGACAAGATTGGTTTAATATTGATTAAATGATTAACCCAAAGCTATGTCTTCAGCCTCTACAATTATTTATTTTTAGGTTAAAGGCAGTGGCTTGGTTCCAGGTATTACTTCCCCCTAATGGCTCATGACTGGGAAACTCCACCTCTGTATCTGTACAGATCACAGAGCTAGAACTCTCTGTCCTCCTCATGACCATTGGGTCCGTGGTCTTTGACTTAATACAGGTGTGATCTGGGGATGCTGATCTACAAAGGGAGAGAACAGAAAAGGAGAGAAGTCAGGTCTCCTGGCTCCACCCTCAGGGTCAGCAAAAGACACAACATGAGGCTCAAAGTCAGAAACCTGGTTTGCTTGTATAGATTTTAGAGAGAGGAAGGGAGAGAGGGAGAAAGGGAGAGAGAGATGGATTTACTGTTCCACTTATTTATGCATTCATTGGTGGATTCTTGTATGTGCCCTGACCAGGGAATAAACCCACAACCTTGGCACTCTAACCAACTGAGTACCTGGCCCAGGCAGAAACCGGTTTTGCAACACTGGAGGAAGAACTGGTCTCCTGGTCTGAAGCATCAGTGTTTATGGGTGACTTGGGTAAGTGGACTGACATTTCTTCTTTTAAAAAATGGGGAAAACACAGCCCATTTTTTAAATGAAGAAATGTCAGTCCTCTTACCCAAGCAATCCTAAGAGGTGACTATGCCCAACTTGTCATGCTCTCTTTGTGGATGAGGAAACTGGGGCTCAGAGAGATTAGGTAACTTGCTTGAAGACATACAGCCAACAATTGGCAGAGCCAGGGTTCAAACCCGGTGTGATGCATAGACTCTCCTCATACTGACCCTGCTAAGCTTCTTTTCACACAAACTAAGTTTACAGGAATTTCACTCCATAACCTTGGTGATAAGGGGCAGGGCGGGTGGGGGGAGAGGAGTGGAGAAAGCAAGGGAGAGTGAGAGTGAAAGAAGATAGAATCAGGGGCCTTGATTCCTGGGAGGTTCTACACAGTCTCCAGGGCCTGCGATGATTGGGTTGTGAGGTTCCTCTGCTGTTCAAAGAAACTGCAGATCGTCCAAATGCTGGAGGGAACACTGGCTCGTGCTGAGAAATGGTACCATCCTGACTCTGGGCAATTTAAGGGATTTTTCAACAGTATTATTTTTTAAAATATGTTTTATTGATTTCTGAGAGGAAGAGGTAGAGAGAGGTAGAAACATCAATGATGAGAGAGAATCATTGATTGGCAGCCTCCCAAACCCCCCCACCCCCCACCTTGGTTGGAATCTGCAACCTGAGCATGTGGCCTGACTAGGAATGGAACCTCGACCTCCTGGTTTATAGGTCAACGCTCAGCCACTGAGCCATGTGGGCCGGGCAACAGTATTATTTATTTGTTTGTTTGTTGAACTCTCTGACTTTATTTGTTTATTCAAATTATAAAAGAAAGTTTATCTAGAAAGCCACAGAGGTAGTAGAAGTGAGCCAGCTGGGCTGCACTGGCTCAGGAAACAAGTTTGGGGCAGAAAAAAGGCCCTTGGAGTTGAGGAGAGAGAAAGGCAAAGGTAGCGCCAGGGGAAGGTGAGGGCTTGCTCCCTGGAGGGAGAGCCCAACTCTCGGACCTTATAGTCCACCAGAAGGTGTGACTTCACTGTGTTTGCCTTTTGGGGTTGAATAACATTTTACTTTAAAAACAGAAGGGTTACTTCAAGAAAACAAACCCAGTGCAACTTATCTATACTAATAATAGAGGAATATGCAAATTGTCCAGCATGCCATCACTTTAACAGTAACAACCAAACAGCAGGCTGCATGGGGCGACAAGGCCAGCAGGGGGGTTAGTGAGGGACGACCAAATGACTGAACAGCAGGCTGCGTGGGACGACCATGTTGGCAGCGGGGTATCTGAGGGGACCAGTCTTCCAGGGGAGGCAGTGAGGGCCAACCAGGCCGGCAGGGGGAGGCAGTTGGGAATGACCAGGCCAACGGGGATGGGGTCAGTTAGGGGCAACCAGGCTGGCAGAGGGGTAGTTAGGGGCAACCAAGTCGGCAGATGGGGGCAGTTAGGGGCCACCAGGCTGGCAGGGTGGTCAGTTGGGGGTGACCAGGCCATCAGGAGAGGCAGTTAGGGGCAACCAGGCCGTGGGAGTTAGGGGGGGCAGTTGGGGGCGATCAGGCTGGCAGGCAGAGTTGGTTAGGGGTTATTAGGCTGGCAGAGGGGGCAATTAGGGGCAATCAGGGAGGCAGGCAGGTGAGCAGTTAGGAGCCAGCGGTCCTGGATTATGAGGGATATCTGACTGCCCGGATCAGGCCTAAACGGGCAGTCGGACATTCCCCTGAGGGGTCCCAGGTTTAAGAGGATGCAGGCTGGGCTGAGGGGACCACCCCCTTCCGTGCACCAGGCCTCTAGTATGTTATAAACCAATGTTACCTCAGAAAAACAAAAGAGACAAAGGAAAGAAACCCAGCAAGGTTTGAGTGGCGGGTGGAACAGGAGGCTCAGTGGAACTAACCTCACAGGTGATCTGATCATAAATTCCTGACTGGGCAGGGCATGGTGGGGAGTCATGTCACTGACACATAACTTCTCTGGTGAAAGGTTTATCTTTGCCTTAAGCAAGCCTGTCCATTGTTCTTGTGCAGGTAGGATAACATGCCCTTGAAATACGGAAAGTGATATCCCTTGAAGGGGGTGCTACCCCGCAAGAGAGCACTTAATCTTAACTGTCCTGTCATCCCATCCCCACCTGGCTTTCTCCCACTTTCCTGTAATCTTTTTGGCGTCCCCTCCTGAATTTCAAATGCATGAAAGAAGCTACAAAACTGTTCTTCTCAGGAGCATTTGAAGTCTTGCTCCCCAGCATACTAATATGTTGTCAGTTTGGCTCAAGTAAAATTTTCTACAGGTCCGGAAGTTTCTTAGGTTGACAGTGAAAAAAATGCCTGAAAGCTCACAGAATTAAAGGATTGGAGGTGGAGGGTCTTTCTGACCTCCCCACATTTCCCTAACTTTCTAAGGGCACCCAGCCCCTGGGAGATGTTTGCCCCCAAAACCCTCTGCCAGTCACAGCCTCATTTTTTTCTTGCAGTCTCAACTTTCACCTTAAAGATCCATTTTAACCTCTCATTCAACTTCTCTATAATAATAAAGGCATCATATGCTAATTAGACTGACCGTCTTTCCAGATGACCTTTCAAACGTAGCTGGGGCTGTGAAGGAAGCCCGAGGCCGGGTACCAGAGGGAAGCCAGTGCCAGCAGCCAGGGGAAGAAAGGCTTACTCTTGTACGAATTTCGTGATGGGGCCTCTATTCATATATATGCATTCATATTTATATGTGAATAATCTTTTAGGTTCCCACCTACAAGAAGCTTGAAACACAATAATCCTTAGATTGGTTTTCAGAGCGGGACACTCAGAAGCCACCGAGTCCACCTCCGGGGCAAGGTCATCTGTGGTCACGATGCTCTGGGCATTCGACTGCTTTAGTCGGTAGAGAATGTCCTTGGCCTTCATCTGGGTTGTCCCTGGCATGAAGATAATCCCTGGGGATGAGAAAGAAATTATCTGTTTCATTTCCTTTTTCACAACCATGGGCTTCAGGCCTGGCTTATCTGCATAGAAATCCCCTAACCCCTTGGTATGCAAAGACCCACAGTATCGCCCTGACTGGTTTGGCTCAGTGTAGAGAGTGTCGGCCTGTGGACTGAAGGGCTCCAGGTTCGATTCTGGTCAAGGGCATGTACCTTAGTTTCGGGCACATCCCCAGTAGGGGGTTTGCAGGAGGCATCTGATCAATGTTTCTAACTCTCTACCCCCATCCCTTCCTCTCAGTAAAAAATCAATAAAATATATTTTAAAAAAAGACCTGCAGTATCAGCTCCACCGTGCCATACCCCAAACCTACAGAATCAGAACGTGCATTTTTAAATTTTTTTATTTAAAATACATTTTTATTGTTTCAGAGAGGAAGGGAGAGGGAGAGAGATAGAAACATCAGTGATGAGAGAGTATCATAGATCGGCTGCCTGCTGCACACCCCGACACTGGGGATCGAGTCTACAACCCCGGGCACGTGCCCCAACTGGGAATTGAACCATGACCTCCTGGTTCATAGGTCAATGGGCAAACACTGAGCCAAGGCAACAGGGCCAGAACCAGTATTTTAACACGACCTCCAACTGATTCTGACGCACATTAAAACTTGAAACGCTTGCCCTACCTGTCTACTCTAGCTGGGTGCAGCCAGTAGACAGGTGGATCCTACTTTGCAAGAGTTTACATGGGACCTGGGAGCACAGATGCAAGGAGGACAGAGTCTCTGATATCAGGAATAGCTGCATCCCAGCCCCCGCTTTCTGCTCCCACCCCCTTCACTCATCCTGTGTCATTGGGAATCCCTTCTTTCCTTCATCCCTCACACCCAAATGAACCACATTGTCCCTTGTACCTTCCTACCTTCCCTCGCATCTGCTGTCACCAACAATTATTTCAAATATTTGTGTGCACCTATTGGATTCTAATTCCCCACCAGATGCCTTGCCTTAAACTTCTGTGTTATTACCTGGGTAAGTTCCCCAGAGCATTGACGTTCTCCCCACATTTCCTGTTGTTAGGACTAGAAGGCAATACAACCCTTGACAGCCATTTGAAAGCTTCCCGCCAGAAGAGAACCAAGACCAGGAAATGCTTGCTGGACACCAGGAATCAGACCATGTAAGGAACTGGAACTGCCCTGAAGACCCCTGATCAGACACGTGTACTCCATCCCCATTCCAAACTCACCGGCTCAGCCCCCAAACCCACTGACGACAAGAGATTCCCACCCGTGACTGCACATAAGGATGAAACTGCAGCTCCTGGGTTCCCACCAGCCCCTTGGCTCAGTGCTGTGCAGCCCTTCCCTTTGGATATCCCACCCCACCCTCCTTTCCTTAAATAAACTCAGTGTTCTTTAATCACTTCTGAGATGGCCATTTAGCCTGCCTGCCCACCACGTTCACCTTCACTTCGCTTCACTAACACCTGTGTCCTCTCTTCAGGAAAACAGCTCGCTCCCGATTCTGGCACTGAAGATGCTGCCCATGCTCCACCTTTTTCTCCCACACCTCTATTCTCTATTTCAATGGCCATTCACATAGGCAACTCCTGACTCTAAGCGTTAGCATGTGCTAAGCCCGTTCCTGGAATTCCCTTTCTCTGCTTCTACTCCTCTTTAGTTATGCTTTTCCCAAAGGGTTCAGCTCACATATTGGGTTTCTCATGGGCCATCTCTTAGCTCTACAGGTGACAAGGCCTTTTTATGCTCCCTGTATTGTTGCTATTAACATTCGATTCCACAGGAGCTAGATGGATTAATCCACTATTCTATGAGGAAAAAAGAGAGGGAATATATAAGCAAGAGCATGAACAGACTGTTGTGTAAACATGTGATTTAACTGAAGTGATTAAAAAAAATCCATGAGTCCCATTCTGATTCTAAATTAGATATAGATAGATAGATAGATATGCAAATAAAAGGGAAAGGGAAATATCTCCAGAAGAATACTAACTAGGGAATGTAGAGGGGTGATATAAACAGAAAATCCTCATATAAAACCACCATAACAATATTTAACTCAGTCAAGAATCATCAGGGGACACTCAAATCACGGGGTGAAAGACAGTGGGGGAGCAGGATAGTCACTAGTCTCATACATGTACCGCACAGACTACTTACCAATCAGGAAGAGAAAAGGTGCCCTGACAAAGTTGCATACCACCCTTCTAATGAGATGAACAGTATCACTGATGGAAGACAAAACAACTGCATAGACCACTCATGTGATACACCAACAAAGACACAACACTGTCTTCCCAGCGTGCCTGCTAAGATGTTTTAAGATGAATATAATCATGAAGCATGAGTGTGAAATATCAATTTGGGTGCACCTCCTGCAAAGCAACTGGCATAGACTCTTCAAAATGTCATTGCCGTGCAGAAAAGGCTAGAGAGCCCTTCTAGATTAAAGGGACTTTTGAAGAGAAAGTGTGTGTGTGTGAGACATTGTGTTTGAGCAGATGTGAGGGTGAGGGAGAGAGTGGGGGATAAGGGGTAATATATGTGAGGGAGTCTGAGAAAGAGAAAGACCGTGAAGAAGAAAGAATGTAGGGAAGAGGAAGCACCTAGTGTTCCAGGACCAGTTGGCTCCAGGACATCCCTAAGGTCTCTACGGGTCTCTCTGAGTCACTGACCTGTTCGGATGCAGCCCACGGCCACCAGCCACCACTCAGGCACTCGAGGCAGAATCAAGGCGAGACGGTCTCCCTGCTGCAGGCCACAGGTCTGCGTGAAGACGTTGGCTGCGCGGCAGGTGAAGTCTGTCAGCTCTCTGAAACTCCACTTCACTTCTTCTCCTTGGCTGTTCACCCACCACAGGGCTGGGTTGGGGCCTCTCTTGCCTTCCTGGTCAAGATCACACACCATGTGTTACTTCCTGCTTCAGAGGAAAACTGCTCTTATTTCCCCAATCCACTGTCACAGTCACATTCCAGTATGAGCATAGCTCAGGAACTGAGACCCATTTTATATTATTTATTATTACTAGACGCCCAGTGCACAAAAATTTGTGCACTCAGGGGGAAGGGGGGGTTGCTCATCCT